AGTGCCGGGGCATCAGCTAGCTCACAGCAACCTCAAACTCCTGGGCTTAAGCGATCCTCCTGCCTCAGCCTCCCGAGTAGCTGGGGCTACAGGCATGCGCCACCATGCCGGCTAATTTTTTATAGTATATATATTATTGTTGGCCATTAATTTCTTCGTATAGAGGACGGGGTCTCGCTCAGTTGTTGTTGAACTCCTGACCTTGAGCAATCCGTCTGCCTCGCCTCCCAGAGTGCTAGGATTACAAGCGTGAGCCACTGCGCCCGGCCTATTTTATTTTTTTTTGAGACAGAGTCTCTGTTACCAGGCTAGAGTGAGTGCCATGGCATCAGCTAGCTTACAGCAACCTCAAACTCCTGGGCTCAAGGAATCCTACTGCCTCAGCCTCCCAAGTAGCTGGGCTCAGGCTGGTTTTGAACTCCTGACCTTGAGCAATCCGCCCGCCTCGGCCTCCCAAGAGCTAGGATTACAGGCGTGAGCCACAGCGCCCGGCCTTTGCAGTCTTATCATAATTGATTTATTACCACTGGCCTTTATCTCTTCCTTGGATCACTCTCTTGCCTCGGCTTCCCTTATGCCCACTCTCCTGATTTTCTCCTAGCTAGTCCTTCTCAGTTTTCTCCTACGGATTCCTAAATATGTAGGCTCCTCAAGGTTCTGTCCTAGTCCCTACCCCCTCATTCTATGTACTTTACTCTTAAGCAATTTCATCCATTTCCATGGCTTCAAAGATCTCCTGGATTTATATGCTCTCTAAAATCTGTCTTGTCCTTTCTCTTAAGGGCTCCTGGCCTATGTATGTAACTGGTTAGTGGCCTCCGTCACCAACATGTTCACAGTCACCTTCCTCTCAACACATATTTTTCCTACACAATTCTTCTTCTATATCTTCTACCTCAGTGATAAATGCAATCACCAACCTAGTAGCCCAAATCTCCCTATTCTCCAATCAGTCATTAAGAATGATTAACTCTACTTCCTAAATATCTGTCAAATATATTCACTTCTCTTATCAGATTGTCTTATTAATTCAGCTACCATCATCCACTTGATTAAAACAGCGTCCTAAAATCCAGTCCCACCCTTCTCCAATCTAATCTTCACAGTACACAGTACAAGTACTTTAAAATTGTATCATAGCACATTTCTGTTTCTAAACCTTTATTACTTTCCCATTTTCCCATATAGTACGAAAGTCACCACCTGGACTCTAAATTTCTCCAGTAGGATAAAAAAACATCCTGGTTTGCTCAAAACTGAGGAGGTTTCCAGGACGTAGTACTTATAGTTTTTGGTTTTATTTTGCTTTATTTTTTTAGAATGGGGCGGCGAGGGGAGGCTTTCAGTTTTTAAACTGGGATAATCTTGGGCAAATCAGGACAAGCCAATCACTCTATTTTTTTTTTTTTTTTTGAGACAGGATCTAGCTCTACTCACAGAGGCTAGAGTGCAGTGGCATCAGCATAGATCACTGCAACATCAGATTCCAGGGCTCAAGGGATCTTCCTGCCTCAGCCTCCCGAGTAGCTGGGACTATAGGCACATACTACCATACCTGGCTAATTTTTTTTCTATTTTTTTGTAGAGACGGGGTCTCCTTCTTGCCAAGCTGATCTTAAATTACTGGCCTTAAGGAATCTTCCCACCTTGGCCTGTCAAAATGCCAAGATGACAGTCATAAGCCACTGAGCCTGGCCCACTCTATTTTTCACTCTTGTTCTAGCTACAATCTCCTCACATTCTACACTTTAGCACTGGTTAAAATTCCAATAATTAATGATACAAATATCATTTAATAATATTAACAAAAATACTAACATATTAAATAAAAAGTATAATCATAATAACTAACCTTTCCATAATATATAAATGCAGGCATTACTACTAATTCACTTAATCCTTTTAGCAATCCTATGAATTAAGTACTATTTTATCCCAATCTTGCAGACGAAAACAATGACGCTCAGGAAGGTTAAATGATGCCCCTAACATCACAACATAGGTAAGCAGTGAAATCTACCTTCTAACCATTTGGCTCAACAATTCTTAAATGAGATAGTAGGTAATTTGTCACTCTCAGAATAGCCTATGGTATCTCTTGCATCTGGGCCTCTGAACTTTGCCATTCACATCATTTCCTCTTCCTCCTCTTTACTTGGCTAAATTCTTCTGGTCTCATGATTCCACCAGCAAGTTTTATCTGAATTCTCCAAACTAGGTCAGAATGCCTTACATGACACTCTGTCTATACCTTTACCAAAACAGTGATCATAGTATATTTTAATTTGGGGTATAATCACCATACAATAAAATGCATGAATCTGTTCTTCTCTAGAGTGTTAGCAGTGTACTTGCAGTAACTAGCTACTATAATAATCTAAGGAGTGCCCTATAGATTAGAAAGTGTAAACTATACCTATGAAGGAATGCTTATAAGAGGTAGTGTAACATTATACTTCTGTAAAGAACATGATGAACTCTTACTTCACAGCAACATCCCAATGTGCAGCAAAGGACTATGAATGTTTTGCAAATCATGTATCTGATAAGGGACTTCTATCTAGAGTATAAAAAGAACAGTTATAACTCAGCAATAAAAAGACAAATAATCCAAGCTTAAAATGGGAAAAGGATCCAAACAGATATTTCTTCAAAGATATGCAAATGACCAATAAGCATGTGAAAAAATGCCCAACATCATCAGCCACCATGGATATACAAATCAAAACCTACAAGAGATACCCTTCATCCACACTAGAATGGCTATAATCAAAAAGACTAATATTAATAAGTACTGGCAAGGATGTGGAGAAATTAGAATCTTTATACATTGCTGGTAGGAATGTAAAATGATGCAGGCACTTTGGTTTGACAGTTATTCAAAAGGTTGAACAGAAAGTTACTATACCACCCAGAAATCCCACTCCTAGGTGGGATCCCACTCTCAAGAGAAATGAAAACCTACATCCACACAAAAACTTGTACATGAATGTTCATAACAGCATTATGCATAATAGCCAAAAGGTATAAACAATTCAAATGTCCATCAACAGATGAATAAGTAAGATATGGTATGTTCACACAACAAAATATTATTTGGCAATAAAAAGAAATAAAGTACTGATCTATAACATGAATGAACCTGGCAAAAGCCACATACTGCATGATTCCATTTATGTGAATTATCCAGAATAGGCAAATCTGAAAATTGAAGATGGGGGCAGGAGAGTTGAGAGGAACATTAGTAACTGCTAATGGGTATAGCTTCTTTTCTGGGTGATGAACATATTATAAAATTGATTGTGGCAAATCAACTCCTAATACACTAAAACTCCCACCTAATTATATTTTAAATGAGCAAATTTTAAAGTATATTATTTACATAATTAAAGCTGTTATTTTTTTTAAAAGGGGCACAGTGAAAAATATAGGCACTCAAATATCTGTAGACAGCCAACTGATCGCAGAATTTTCAAATAGTCAAAATATGCCAGGATAAAATTAGATATGTATCTTACTGGTGATTTTGGGTGATCTCATCACATATTTTCTTATTAAACACTTAACAATGAACTTAAACTACGTATTCAGCAGAAAAAGTATTAAATATTGCACTGTTTTTTGGTCAACTACAGAAAAACAAACATCTTTTAATCAGATTCAGGACAAAGCCCGCAACAACCTAAAATCTAAAATTTCTCACCATATCCCCACTTGATTATACCAGCTGATTTAGACACTTCCAAAGCAAAGGCTGAAGTTGATTTTAAACAAAGAATGGTTGGCAATGGTATTCTTCTTTCCTACTCTTTTTAACTTCGTTATAATGTGGGGGGGGGGAAGAATCAATGTTAAAAAGCAAAAGGGGAGGGAATAAAAATCGGTTCACTCACACAATAAAATGTTACAAAGCGACTGTAAGGATCTGTTCTCTCTTTGGCCAGGAAAAAAGGGGAATAAAACGGGAATGATAAAATTGCCAATTTCTAATATTTCATGTTGGGCCTCAAGGACCTAAAAATAAAAGGTATGTCGTGGAAACAAGAAATTTATCCACGACCCTGGAGAGAAATTCTTGGCGCGATCTACAAGGAGGGTCCCGAGAGGACCCCTGGCCAGCCCTGCCGCCGATGCCCCAGTTGGGGCCTGGTGCGGACTGTGAGCCCGGCGTCCCAGCCCGAGGAGCTTCGCCTCAGCGGCGCCTGGGGACGCGCTCCGCGCGGAGGTCAAGCCGAGAAACGCCGCCAGGCTCCCGAGGGCTCCACCCTCCCCTCTTTCGCTCCCTCCCCTCGGCGGTCCCCTGAGGGGAACAGGCGGGGCGCAGCGCTGAGAGGCTGTGGGGGGGTTAAGTCCCCAGCAAGAAATGCTCCGCCGCCCTAGAGTGGCGGCCTCGGGTTATTAATAAACTCCGCTTCTGCCCAGGCGCCGCTACCGAGGCCGGCCCATAGGATCGGCAGGGCCTGCGGCGGAGGCTGAGGAGCGGGAGCCGGAGCCCGGGCCCAAGCGGGCCCGCGCCGCCGCGCTGAGGGCGGCGGCCGGGCGGAGAATAATGCACACTGGGTAAAAACACATTTATATACGAACCTCCGAGAAAATTTTCCAACAATTCCTTCGTCCGACCACCATGCACCAGGACAGGAAACAGCCGTCCGGCCCCCAGGCCCCGCAACCCGCATAGCGTGTCTGATGCCCGCCCCCAGACTCCATTGGGCTGCCATTACGTCACTCACCGGACGCTTTCTGCTTGCCATTGGCCCAAATTTACCCGGCGCGGAAAAAACCCGCCTTAGCCACGCCCCCTTTCTTGGCGTCAGTCGATCCTGGCCTTACAGTCCGTACCTGAGTGGCTCGCGCAAAGTGCGGAATCAAAGCTCCTGTGTCTGACTGGTTGGCAGAACTGCTGGTCCCAGGCCGACACCACCTCACTGACAAGTGAATTATGCCGATTCTGGGGCCTCAGCGGGAGGCGCCATTTTGTAGAGAGGGAGGGAGGCTGGTCCTTGTGATTACCCGGGAGGGAGAAGGGGTGACGGGCGCCATTTTCCCCACAGGGGCGAGGAGGTTGCCTTGTATCTCCCAGTGGGCTTGCCGGAGCGTATTTTGGAGACCACTTGGGCTTAGCCTAGCGATTGCTGAATGTCTTCCCGTTGGGAGGGAAGTAGAAAGGAGGGGTAGGACAGGATGAGAGGCCTAACTACTCCCTAGAGGCTCTCAGTGCTGGCTGAGGCCCGTGGTGTTAGGCCAGGGCTCTGTTTTCCCGAGAGCTGCTGTATGCCGGTGACTGGCTTCCAAGCCTCCCTGCACTTCTCCAGTCTCCGGGGCCATCACCATGCGGTGGGAGGGTGAACCTTCCTCTCCTGCTGAAACTCCGGCGGAGCTTGGCTACGGGACGGGACGGGGCAGTGGTCTTGGACCCAGCTGGGAGACACTACGGATGCTTTTGTGCTTTCACGTAGTTTCTACTCAAAATTTGAAGCCGTCTGAAATGGTGTCGCTGCGTTCTTTTGCATGTTTTCTTCCTTTTTGTTTGTCTGAATTAAAGGAAAGTCAAAAGGATGGGGAAAGCATTCAATCGGGCTCCCTAAAACTGAGTACAAGTAGATTGTGGCATTTGTAGTACTTGTCAACCCTTTTCTAAACCATTGGAAATACTAGTCATTTCAGGAGGGAATCGGTAAAAGTTTGCTTTGGCAACTAGGCCGAGTAAAGATGAGATGAAGTGACTCGATGCAAGATTTGTCAAATTAGACGCGCTAGTCGTATTAGTAGAACCGAATTACCAAGAAAATAAGGAGGTTGGCCCCCTGTCACAGATTTGGGTCTTGCATACAAAAACAGGGAGAGAATAGGATGATGTTTGATTTGGCGTCTTGCATTTCAGGTGATTATGGAATAGATGGGAATAAATCAAAAGTTAAAGATGGCCAGCCCTCGAAGTGAGGTTAGTTAAAATGTTTTGATTTGTAATTGAGTCTACGTGGAAGATGCAGTGTTGCCCTTTTATCGATTAGGCGGACCCTAACCAAGGCATAATTGGTACCCAAATGCTATTCGAAGGGTAATAGGAATTTATTTGAGCTTTGTTCGAACACATCCTGGAGAAGTTTGAAATAGTTCTGATTACTTTTTAATGTCACGCATAAAATTGGATTAGGTTACTTGAAACTGAAGGATTTTGCTCATTTAACACAAATTCCTGGGCCGGGTGGGTGGCTCACGCCTGTAATCCTAGCACTCTGGGAGGACAAGGCGGGAGGATCGTTTGAGCTCAGGAGTTTGAGACAAGCCTTAGAAAGAGCCAGACATCGTTTCTACTAAGAAAATAGAAACTAGCTGGACAACTAAAAATATATAGAAAAAATTGGGGGCATGGTGGCACATGCCTGTATTCCCAGCTACTCTGGAGGCTGAGGCAGAAGGATTGCTTGAACCTAGGAGATTGAGGTTGCTGTGAGCTAGGCTGATGCCATGGCACTCTAGCCCAGGCAACAGAGTGAGACTGTCTCAAAAAATAAAATAAACTGGACGTGGTGGCTCACGCCTGTAATCCTAGCACTCTGGGAGGTCGAGGCCAGTGGATTGCTTGAGGTCAGGAGTTCGAAACCAGCCTGAGCAAGCATGAGACTGTCTCTACTACAAATAGAAAGAAATTAATTGGCCAACTAATATATATAGAAAAAATTAGCTGGGCATGGTGGCACATGCCTGTATTCCCAGCTACTCTGGAGGCTGAGGCAGGAGGATTGCTTGAGCCCAGGAGTTTGAGGTTGCTGTGAGCTAGGCTGATACCACGGCACTCACTCTAGCCTGGGCAACAAAGTGAGACTCTGTCTCAAAAAAAAATAAATAAATAATAAAATAAAATAGATTCCCTTTGTTACAGAGAAGTTGAGAGCTCAGATAAAAAGCAAATTGGTGGTGGTGGATAGGATGCTATAAGTGTAATCTGATTCAGAGAGAAACCTTAATTCTGATTTGACACAGGTAGTGGAACCTTATGTTTGTTAACAGAATTTACTAGTGACTAAGGACAGAGCTCAAATGTATAGAGTATTAAAGGCCATCCATAATCTTTAGATTTTCCCCAAATCACCTCTCCTCTCCTTGATTACATCCTATCAAATTAATGGCTTGGAAATCTTTCTCTGTCAATGCTAGTCCAGGCTCTTAAATATAGCAGGACCATTTTCCCGAACTTCCTAAATAAGAACTTATTTCCTCTAGTCCCCTCAAAAACTATTATCATCATGTTTTCTAAAACATTTCTTTCAGTAACTCAAAACTTCCTGGAGAATTGGTTGATTAAGGCATATTTGTACAATGATATAACCATAAAGTAGTATATGTATAGAAAAAAGATAGAGAAATGTGTTAAACTCTTAAAAGCAGTTATCTCTGGGAAAAGGGATTATAGGTGACTTTAACTTATTAAATTATTTCTGCAAATTTGTGAATTTTTTAATCGTGGATTTGTTGATTTTTTTAATTTTTGAGACAGAGTCTCACTCTTGCCCGGGCTAGAGTGCCATGGTGTCAGCCTAGCTCACAGCAACCTCAAACTCCTGGCCTCAGGCAATCCTGCCTCAGCCTCCCGAGTAGCTGGGACTACAGGCATGTGCCACCATGCCTGGCTAATTTTTTCTATATATTTTATATATTTTTAGTTGGCCAATTTTCTTTCTATTTTTAGTAGAGACAGGGTCTCACTCTTGCTAAGGCTGGTTTTGAACTCCTGACCTTAAGCGATCCTCCCACCTCGGCCTCCCAGTGTGGTAGGATTACAGGTGTGAGCCACTGCGCCCGGCCAAGATTTTTTAAAAACACTTAAAACCAAACCAGTGGCTTATTCTTCGTGGGGAGCTGTGGCTATAAATGTGTCACTTGTTTCAGAACTTGTTGCCTCATCTGTATGATAAAACCACCTATTTCACAATGTGATTGGAGGCTATATGATGATGTTGGTTTTCGAATGTAGCATAATGCCTATCAGAGATGCATTCCCAGTGCTTAATAAGTTTTAGCCCATCTCTCCCCACTTCCTCCATTATGGTCTTACAACAGTGGTTTTTAAGCACTTTGCAGTTTGATAGACTAAACTTGGTTTGTAAACTAAACCTTGGTTTGTAGACTAAACTCATTTATTTAATGTCACTCAACTTGGGCCGGGCTAAGTGACAAACACCTGTAATCCCAGCACTCTGGGAGGCTGAGGCGGAAGGATTGGTTGAGCTCAGGAGTTTGAGACCAGCCTGAACAAGAGTAAGGACGCCCCCTCACCTACTAAAAATGGAAAAATTAGCCAGGCGATGTGGTGTGCCCCTGTTGTCCCAGTCCACAGTGACTCAGGAGACTGAGGCAGGAAAATCACTTGAGCCCAGGAGTTTGAGGTTGCTGTGAACTAGGCAGATGCCACTGGACTCTACTCAGGGCAATGGAGTGAGACTGTCTCAAAAAAACAACAACAACAACAAAAAACTGTTTAGAAGCATTGTATGATTAGGTTACTTAAAATGTTCCATACGTGTGTTGACATAACTGTAGGCGTAATTCAACTGCTTGTATTGTTAGTGACTAGTTGTATGATTTCCCTCATTTCAGGCTGATCAATGCTAATTCCAGTATGAAAGTAATTTTTCCATCTTACCAGCTTTCTAGGACTATGTGTAGACTCCATTTGTTCCACCTTTGAAAATATCAAACAACTTGTGTCTCTTAAATGAGCTCCAAGGTTTGCCAGTTGTGGTAATATATATTAAGTTTATTTGGTGGCAAAGTAGGAGGAAAATATACTCTTTAATTTATAAAATGCTATAAATCTCTAAAGCCCTTGAAAATTCAAGGTGTCCCTTTGCAACTGGCTGGCTACCTCCACAGAATCTAGCTTTCATTTTGGCTGCTAATTACATTTGCTTAAATCCAAAGTAGAACGTTTAAGATAAAAGGACAACCAATTAACTTCATTAATATACAAGGTGTGCATTTTTCAGAAGTAAAATGACACAGTGGGTAGTCCAGGAGTGAAAACAGTTTATAACATCATTTTATTTTTGTGGGAAAACATACATTTTTTCCTTACCTTTCCTCTGTCAAACCCTGAGCAAACCACTTTCCCCAGTCTGCCTGGGGAGGTATAGGAAAAGAAACAAGCAAGGCAGATGAGACAGGAGAAAACTATGGGAGGTGGAGAGGGCTCCTTCACATGCAAAAGCGCCCCATGGCCTCTGAGAGGGCAAAGCCCAGAATGGTGTAGAAGAGCTTTTGCTTCAGAGAAGGATTCCTGGTATGACCAATGATGAGACTATCAAATACAGTCTCAGCCCCAGAGACAGGCACGCCAACTGTGGCAGCCCCAGCCCCAGTGAAGTCGGCCGCTATGTTGATGTCCCTTGAAGTGGCGCTGGTTTGGAAGCTGCAGCTGGGGACAAGTGAGGTCAGGGGATATGTGACTGCCAAGATGCTGAGATCCTCATCTGTCATTGTCTCGGGTTGTCTCAGCGCCACTACAGCTCAGCAGTTGAGAGATGCTCTTATCCAAGGAGGGGGTGGAGACAACTTTGAGCAGGTGAAACTTTTCAGGGGTTGGGGCTGTGGCAAGAGAACTCCAGTGTAGATAAGAGAGAGGGTGGAAAACATACTCTTGAGACAAAGTGAGAACACATCCAGGTTTTCATTTTTATGGAAAAAGACTTAAGTGCTGTGAGATTTGGGGGCAAAAAAATTGAGCTCAGTCTTAAATTATTAATATTATATGTTACATTGAAAGATACAAAGATGCAACATTTACAGAAAAAAAAAAAAGCATTTTAAGGTTTCCCCCTTGACCTTGGCGCCAGATAGGACTTGTCTGATAAGGTAACAGGATTTAGAAAACAAATGAACTGATGGCAAAACAAAATATTGGGAGAATGCGACCTCTAAGACCTTCTTCCTTCTGCATAACTATTAGAATTGTTCTTAATTTGCATTAAATGCATAACATAAACATTTCATGTTACTTATTAGAGAATTTTAACCAAAAAAGTTTGAGACTTACTTTTAAGAAACCTGTGAAAATTATTTTTTTAGTCGAGATAAAAGTCACTATTTTAAAATATACACCAGAGGTTTCTTTTTTCTTTTTTGAGAGAGACTCACTTTCTTGCCCCGGCTAGAGTGCCATGGTGTCAGCCTAGCTCACAGCAACCTCAAACTCCTGGGCTCAAGCGATCCTCCTGCCTCAGCCTCCAAGAGTAGCTGGGACAGGCATGCAGCACCATGCCCGGCTAATTTCTTCTATATATTTTTAGTTGGCCAATTAATTTTTTTCTATTTTTAGTAGAGACGGGGTCTAGCTCTTACTCAGGCTGGTTTCCAATGCCTGACCTTGAGCAATCCTCCTGCCTCAGCCTCCCAAAAAGCTAGGATTACAGGCGTGAGCCACCACACCTTGGCCCCATACCAGTGGTTTCTAATACATTCACAAGGTTGTGCAGTTACCACTATATAATCCAAAATTTTTCATCATTCCCATAAGAAACCCCATATCCATTAGCAGTCACTCCCTATTCCCTCTTCCCCCTAGTTTCTGGGGGAAAACTAACTTTGTTATGAAATGCCTATTCTGGGCATTGTTAGGGCTTAGGGACCATAGGTAGCCAATAACCCGTCATTAACTTCTGTATTATGCTTGCTTGTTTAGGAGAGTGGAAAATTTTCAGCTGACCCTTATCTGATTTTGGACCTGCCATCTTGCTCCTGCTAGTACGAATAAGTTTAGAAAATAAGGGGAAGGGTAGTGGTGTATGGCACACAACTGCCCACAAGATATAGCTCCTAGTCCAGGGTTGAAATGCCCTGGATCCCATGCCTGACATGCTTCGTGTGCCCATGGAATGCACTCCGGCTTAGATCACAGAAAGCGAAAGGTATTTTAACTAAGATTAATGTTGTCTGTAGTCATACTGTTTCAGAATTAAATCTTAGCTATAGCTGGTGACTCCTACAAAACCAACCCACCCCCAAGGCTCCAACCCCTCCTCGATTGTGCTGAAACAAGATACGTATATATTGTAGCTAAGATTAATGCTTTCGTAACTGTGCTTGCAGAATTAGATTTTTTTAGAGTATGGTTTTTACCTTTAAAAGAGCTGGCTTTTCCTGGCTCATTTCTGTTCTCTGTGCCTGCCTCTCATGGTACAGGAAGTAGTTGCTGGCCAGCTAATAAAGACTCACAATTTGGCTTAATTCCGTCTTTAGGTGGTCTTTTCTCATGCTCTAGACCTTAACAGGCATTTCATATTACTGGGATCTTTTGTGTTTGACTTTCACTTTGTGTAATGTTTTCAATGCTCACTCAGGTTGTAGGATGTCCATTCCCTTTTATTGCCAAATATTTGATGATATGGATATATGCTTATCATTTGGTAGACATTGGGTTGTTTCTATCTTTTAGCAATTATTAATAAAGCTAATATGAACACTTGGGCAAGTTTGTGGACACATTTCATTTCTCTTGGTATATATACCTAGGAGTGTAATTGCTACATATGTACATGTAACACCATTTTCAACCTTTTTAGAAACTGCAGATAAAGTTTTTCCACAACAGATAAAGCATTTTACATCCCATCAGTAATGTATGAGGGTTTCAACTTCTCTACATCTTCATGAATACTTGTAACTGTCCATCTTTTTTATTATAGACCTACTAGGTGTGAAGCAGTATCTCATTGTTTCAGAGTTGCATTTCTAGCTGGGTACCTACCTCCCCTTTTTAAGAACCACAGTGCCCAGCTTCTTTTGATAGTCATGGTCATATGAGTATGTTCTGACTCTATATTAAGAGGCAACAATGTGTCAGCTTGCTGTACTGGTCCCTAAAGGGCAGGGATATATCTCTTCATCGCTTCTGTTTATTCAAAGTTTAAATGGTGGTTGTCTTGGGCCATGTGTTCTACTGTACACAAAGGATGAGGGGCCTGTACTGGCACTGAATCACTTTAGTGAGCTGAGTTACAGCCTGGGTCTATAAGACTTTTGGAGGAACATACCGTTTAATCTGCTCCTAATGTTGGTCTTTGGATTTCCAGGTCCACTTAAATATTAAGTATTATGTTTGTGTTAAAGAATATTCTGTTAGAAGAGTCTTCTCTAATTAGGGGGTCTGATTTATTTAGATAACTCTTCCCTCTCCCCCTATAGAGATTACAGTAATATCTCCAAGAGCACTTTCCATGTAAACTGACATGCCTTGGGATCAAGAGTGATTTTATATTAAATGCGAATCTGCTAGACTAACCCTAAGTCTGGGAATGCCTGCATAATGTCTAGCTGATGTATTACTTTTTAAAATTTAGACACAAGGTCTCACTCTGTCACTCAGGCTGGAATGCAGTAGTGTAATCATAACCCACTGTAACCTTGAATTCTTGGACTCAATCTTCCTGCTTCAGCCTCCCCAGTAGCTGGAACTATAGGTGCATGCCACAACACCCAGCTAATTTAAATTTTTTGTTGGTATTTTTTAGAGACAGGGTCTATGTTACCCAGGCAGGTCTCAAATGCTGGCCTCCAGCGATCCTTTCTTTGGCATCCCAAAGTGCTGGGATTACAGGCATCAGCCACTGTACCCAGCCACATATATTATTCTTTATGTAGGAAAACCTATTCACTGCAAGTTTCACTCTTCCACCAAAACAACCCTTGATGCTGGTACACTGTGATGCCAGCAGCATTCTCTAAGCCACCTACACATGCCTTCCAGAGCACATACACTTTCCCCCCCAGATTTAAACCCTGGGTCAGGGGGGTTGTGGTACAGAGATCTACTGTCTTGCAGCTGCCTAAGACTACACTTTTGTCCTCAAGTTCCCCTAACAAATCCTCGTATACCAACAAACTGGATTTGACTGCCTTCATTCTTTGGTTTCTCAGCTCCTTTGGCATTTGGGGGTTGCTTTGCATGTACATCCCTTTCTAGGAACACATGCAAACCTTTCTTTACTATAAGCCAAAGTATGAAGGGCTACTGCAAGGGTAGCCAATCTGACAAAGGGTAAAAGCTGAAATTAAGTACACGCTAATAACTGGTCACAGATAATCATTATCAAAATTTCAACTACATAGAAGAGAACTGAGTTTTAATTTTAGGTCATTCATTTTACAAACATAGTAAGTCTATTATGCTTAAGAAAATAACTGTTAAATCTTTGCCAAAGACATAGTAGTCATATTAATGTAATTCTTGATGCCTTTTTCTTCATGCTCCAAGGGCTACATCTGGGGTTGAATAGCTACTCTGGTCTCTTCCAGAGGTGAGTATATAGCACTAGTCACTATCTCAATACAGCGTGCCACTATTTTATTACCTGCAGAGAAATAGATTAACTTTCTTTACTTAATACTGATAATAGATAGGGTTTTTAAAACATGGATTGCTTAAGTTTATAAAAAAGTGATTTTATGCTAATGCCTGTCATTAACAAAGATAAACTTTCAAAGTTTTCCAAAAGTTCTATAACCTCATCTAGAAACTAACACATATTAAGATTCATGATCTATAACAAACTAATTTGATGTTAAGATAAATGAAATCATAAAAATTAAGATATATATCTGATACATTAGAAATTACCATTTGAACACTAAATAGTTTAATTATTAAGGTCTAATTTTAAGTTAAAGTCTATAAATGGAGATTAGTTTGGATTATGTGACACAAGAGACAAACATGTTCTCAAAGACATGCCAATACATTTTCCTGAAGCAAAACCTCAGCAAATGAGAATTTTCATACTTTATATGGGAATAACTAAAACCTTTATTAGATATGATTTTCCAATAACAATAATGTGAAAATTGGAATTATCAATTCAAAGAGCAATGGATTCTGAAAATTTAAAAAGTAGACTAGGTATTAGGGGAAAAAAGGTAAAGGAAGACGAGAATGTTTCTTTAATACTTTTCAATATCCCCTCTGTACACAATGTTGCATATATACAACTACCATTTTTGTTTTATTGATTTTATATAATAGTGAAATCCCTTTAAGCAACCTAGGTATACAGTTGGTGTCCAACTTGTGGGGGAGGGAGTAGAAACACACTTGATTAACAGTTTTCACCCACACGTTTTAGTTAATTTTTTTCTTTTTTTGCCAAGATTTTACTAGTAAATTCATAAATATAGGAAATACTCTCACTCCTTCAGTGTTAAAGTAGAAAACCAAACAGTGCCAACAGCAGTGGCTTAATTATTGGTATACAAGAAAAACACAACACCAATGGATTTTCTTAATTATGCATTTTAAATATCAATGTGTATTTGTTTCATTTTTACAGTTATAAATGCTCTAATCTGTTTTAGATAACAGCATGTAATAGTTTCGACTCTATTGAGATGTTGTTTTCAATTTGAAATATTGTGTGTATACATGTATATAAAAAATAACCCAATGTACGATTCATCTGACAGATGTTTAAGATCAATAAAGGCTTATTTTCCAACATGCAGTTAGGAAGAGAGGGAAGCAAGCCAACCTCTCTACACTGTCTTGTTGCTGGGCTGGTTTTTGCAGTGGTATCAATAGTGGTTTTGGAGGGAACCATGTGCCTTCAACCTCTATAGTTAAGATCAGATACCACAATCAACAGGAGGGGTAGAGGAGATGGGGAAAGTAAGTGGGCAGGTATTAAAAATCAAATTTTAAGTGTGCATTTTGCACTTTATAGGTACAGGATAAAAACAGGCCAGTAAGGAAAAAAATTTATAAACAGGGAAAAAACTGCAATCAAATCAAGACATAATAGCCGAATTAAGTTCTTTTAATAGATTGCATATATAGATGTTTAGCCATACTCTTAGATCAACTCTTTAAGAGTAGAACTTTATATCCAATTTACATGCTTCAGATATCACCTTTCTTACTTGTTTACAGTTAAGGTCTTGTATCCAAATATCCACTTGTACACTGAGAGCTTTAAGAAAAAACAGGACACAGAGGGAGTTGCCATTTTTAGCAGCAAAGGTATATCACTAACCCCTTTTTACATACCGAATTCAAGTCACAATCAGAGGTGAGTGTACCACAAAGTCACCAGGTACAAAATTGCTAGTTCATTTTTAAATTAATAACTTGAAATTACCCCTGCCCCCCACCCCATTACATCCCTTCTTTTTATAAACAGCAAACATTTTGCTATTTTATACATAGGCTAGCAGGCTTGTTTCAATATGAAAGTGCTAATTCATTTACAGATTTTTTAATCAGTTATGTAGTGCTACAATAAACGTCCAATAATCTACATAGGAACAATCTTTGATGAATGAAAATGATGAAGATTGAATAAGGCTATCAGATTACCTTATCTTATTTACATATAAAGAATAGATACCCAATGGTAAGGAAGAGACAGAAATTGGACAAATACTCATACGTGTAAAAATTACATCTACCTTTGAGATTTATATACTGTAAATGAGACATTTTAAATAGTCCTGTAGCCCATGCCTATTTTTTCCTCAGAAAAAGAAAAGCTGCCTTCATGACATCCCCTCTTGTTGCAGATTTCCACAGTGTCACTTGAAAGCTTCAGTCAGGATCTTACTTTCTTCAAAAAATAAAGAAAATAACCCCAAAATTACCCACCCCCCAAATCCCTCTGGTTTCTTTTCCAGTGCCAGGTTGCATGATCAGGTCCTACCTCTTGGGTTTTTTTGTCCATCTATTGATCAGTTAGTTTAGAGTAGATAACATGAACCAGTTCTGGAACCACTACTAGGAGGAACG